AAACTATGTTTTTTTAATTTTCTGGTCAGTAAATAAAAGCATAAAATTGCGCTGCATTTACGCTTAGGGTTTGGTAAAACATATCTTTTTCTTTTATATGTGTATTAAAATTGCGTATACAAATAATTTCAAAAAAGTGCGACAAGATACGCTCGTGAAGTCCACAATATTAGTGAAAGCATGAATTTTAATTGCCTCAGACTTTAGACAATGTATTATAACGAAAAGAGTTCTTTACTATCAAAGATGGAGAAGAAGTTCCTTGTCAGTCATAAATATAAACATATATGACAATGAAAACGTTCAAATATACATTTCTTATAGTTTAGAAAACTTATATTTAAACTAAAATTTCTTATAGTTTAAAATTCTTATAGTTTTAGGAGGTAATGCTGATCACTCCAGAAGCGATAAATGCAAAAACACCAGATGTACAAACTAGTAGCGTTGACAGGCCCATAAATCCGGGATGTGTAATTCGTAAGTGCACGCAGGTATCGCAACCGAAGAAGGGATTTCAAATTCAGAGCAGTAAGCTTTTGCTGCTCTCTTGACGCCTTTTTTTTTTCCTAAATTTATTTCGAAGTTATGTGCTGTATTCAGCGTGAATTTATATTCCTTTGACATTCTTTCAACTACATAAAGAATTCGTCACAATTACTTTAAATTTGAACAAATTTCGCATTTTGATTTCAGAATGATTTTGGGATTTTCATTTCAGTTATTCTGTAAAGGAAATCGGTGCGAAACATTTTTAGTTATTTTATTTTAAGCACAGAAAAGGTCATATGACATATAGTCATATAACGGAGAGTAGTCCTGGAAGTCCATTGGTCCGTTATAGTAGCCCCTTCCTCAGTTGCGATATGGATGTGCATTTAGGAATTATGTATTTAGTATTAGATGCGATGATAAATTGTGGATACGTTGAAGCAGAAAACGCTGAAGAGTTCGTGACAAGTTGAGCTGCAGAGGGACTGCTTAAGCGGGCTCGCGCGAGCCATTTGTTAAATTTGTCTCTAATGTTTGAGCCAGTAGCTGTTTTTGTTTGCTTGTTTATTTTTTCCAAGATAAACATGTCTTGCATGTCCAAAACATACTTATGTTAATCTTTCACTTTCTGAGGATGGAGGTCACTTCTGGTTCCGTTCTCAGGGCTGTAAAGTCTAAAATAGATTCTGTGTTATGAATCTAAATTTGATTCTATATGAATATGAAAAATTAACAGTTCGAACAATTAAGATTAATAATTCGAAGGATAAAAAGAATAAATTTCAAAAATTACGCCGAGAAAAATTACTAAATTGTCTCGCGATGTCATCTTAAAATTAGTTGTTGCAGCAAAGTAATTTTGCAATACATCATGAAAACGATGAAGGAACTAATTGATGAAGAATTCAAAATGATTTATAACCTTTTAATGAAGAAGTAACCTGCTCATAACAAGAAGAATAAGTAAGGATAGCAACACTATATTTCATATTAAACCATTAAACAAAAATAAATGATTTGGAGATTTCGTTAATATGGCTTTACAAGGAGAACTTCGTAACAAAATTCATATTACTATAAAGAAATCTCGACTTTCTTTACACTCTTTATGAGGACTATCGTTGTTAATAGCGTTGAAGCTGAATGAATTTTTAGTTCGCTGAACAATATTTCCACAACAAGATCTTCTTTGAATGTACAATATATCTCAGATTTAATGAGAAACCTTTAACAGAATTTTTTAATCCTGAATCATTTCTGAAAAAATTATCATTTTGTTCATTAAACATAAAAACGTTTTTAAAAAATCATCGCTTGAACCTTCTAAAACAGATTTCAAAGAGTACGAAAACAATGTGTCGTAATTTTTGACATCAGTTGCGCCTCGTAATTAATTTGCTTGTTATTCTGTGCAAATTATTATTATTATTTTTTAATTTTAGCCCAAAAGGCGTTAGACCAGAAGGACAAAATTTCGTTTTGGCATTTTGCGTTGGTTCACTTTTCAAACTGGTGCCACCAAATATTAGAGTCCTGTATTATATTTAAAGAAATTAAATACTGATGAAACAGCATAAATGTATCTATGTTTCTCGCATTGTGATAAAACAACGATACGTAGAGCCATCAAAATTTGAATAACGTAATCTTCCGTAGAATATGGGCATGTGGAAGCCTTAATTTGAATTTGAAATTTGTTTAATTATCGATTTCATATTTTATAACACTTACACGAATTTTTGATTAGCAAACTAAACGATTTAAAAACGAGCAATGGCATCACTGTACGGGGGGGGGGCATTTTTATCTCCAGCGCGCGAGACAGTGTATAGGAAATTCTAAAGATATGCTCAATTTAAAATTATTTTGCGATATTGCTGTTGAACTGAATTTTGTGCTTTGAGTACGTAGAACATGATATTTAATAAATAAAGGTAACACACGAAATGTTAAAAAACGCCTCTTTAGTCGTAATGTAAAATCCGAAAGCTTTTAGTCCCCTCCGCCCCCCGAGATGCTTTCATGTGCATGTATATTGAAATTTGCGCTGAATGAAAAGCAAATTTTAAAATTTTCTTTAATTAAAAATGTTTAATATTTGGTAATTTTTTAGTACAAACGAGCGTTAGCCCAGATTGGATGTTAGTCTCAAAACGGCATTTTGCGTTGAATCACTTAAATGCGATGCATCACTTTTCAAATTGTTACCACCAAATATTATAGCCCTGTATTATATTTAAAGAAACTAAATAATGAAGAATCTGCTTGATTGTATGTTATATTTCTCGTACTATGAAAAAACAATGTATCAGATTTTGAATAACATAGTCCTCCACCCGAACATGGGCACCTAGAACCCCGAATCTGAAATTTGTTTTGTTGTCTGTTTCATATTTTGTAAAACTTTAAAGAATTTTTTATATAAAAATTCAACAATTTCAAAGCAAGCAATGGCAACACTGTAGGGAATAAAACATTTTTATCTCCAGCCCGTGAGACTGTCTATCGGAAATTCTAAACATATGCTGTTTTTAAATATCTTTATCCCAAATGCTCTGGAAACGTGGATGTGTAGGTAAAAAAATCGCCCGTTTGGTAGTAATATAAAATCTGAAAGCTTTTAGATTTAATTTTTTTCGTTATTATTAATAATAATATCCCTATATGAATGATTCGAAACAATTGGGATCCATTAAACATTCGTATGTGGAAAAATGTAGGAATCGTCTCGTCTCTAATTTATACTAACGAGTTTCGGCAAAAAATTAAATCACGTTCAAAAAACATACCTAGCAGGAAAAATAGAAAGCTTATATACGCTCATTGTAATGTTACGATAAGCATAATAACATTTTAAAAGTGATATTATTTATTTAATAAGTGAACTGTAAAAATCCTTAATCTGAGTTTTAAAAAGAATTGTTCAATGCATTTCGGAAGACTTATGACCCATATCTTTTGAAGAAAGAAAACATTCATCAGCTTCCTGCCAAATTTCATAGCGTAAGTCCAAAATATCTAATGAATTTATTAGCCCAAACGGGCAATTTGCCCAGAAAGGCTATTAATTTCGTTTTGGCATTTTGCGTTGATTCGCTATAAATGGCGAATCACTTTTTAAAATTGTTGCCACCAAATATTAGAGCCCTGCATTATATTTAAAGAATTTAAATAGTGAAGAATCTGCATAAATGTACGTATGTTTCTCGCATTGTGATGAAACAACGGTACCCAGAGCCATCCAGTTTTGAATAACGTACGTCTCCATCCCGAATATGGGCATTTGGAAGCCCAAATTTGGAATTTGTTTATTATCTACTTCAGATTTTGTTAGACATTAAAGAATTTTTGATTAGCAAACTCAACGATTTCAAAGCGATCAATGGAAACACTGCACGGGAAAAAAAATTATCTCCAGCGCGCGAGACGGTGTATAGGAAATTCTAAAGATATGCTCTTTTAAATATTTTGTAATATTGCTGTAGAATTTAATTTTAGTTTTAATTGCGAAGAACGTGATATTTAATAGATAAAGGTAACACACAAAACGTTAAAAAACGCTCCTTTTGGAGTAATATAAATTTTTTTGTATTTTTATTATTATTATTTTCTCCCTTTTTCCAACATGCCTTTTTTGTGTAAAGGGTAGCAAACTCGGCGCGTATTCGAGATATCCAGGTTCCAATCCCGGCGAGCACTTTACACATTTTTCACGTATCTTGCTTCAAAATAACCTAATGACTCTACATTCCTACATTCGTATTAATAAAAATTAATCATGGAATCAAATAAATTTTACTGCATAAACCGATCAGTCCGTTAAGAAACATTTTGCATTCCGCTGTCGTTATCTTAAACACAAAAACAACTTTCACACCTTTAAACGAAATGTGTAATCAGGCTCTAATTTCCGCATTAGCGCACTTCCAGGTTAAAGAAAAGTAATCCCTTAAACACCTGCCTTATTAAATATCCCCAGCATACGGCCATAAATACACATAACATTTCCTTAAATTGTTATTAATGCTTCCCGAATTTTCTTTCCCTCCTTACGAATTAATAGAATTTATTAATAATGTGCCCTATCTGCGTCTTTCCGTCCATAAGCAAACACAATCAAGAAAATTGACGATGTCCTTAATAAAATTCTGGAAAGAGAAGCTTATTATAATGTTAAAAAAACATTTTAGGCTCGTTGAGTGATTTCCGCTGTACAACCCCTCCTTCCCCTTATCATCAGAATTCAAAATACTTTTATCCATCAATTATCTCTGAAGGCCCAACGACTAAAGTAATTTCCGCTCATAAATAAACATCCAGCAATAAGAGCAAAAATGAAGTGTGCCCAAACTATCCCCTTTGCCGCTCAATAAGGCGGATAATTCGATAAATCCAGCTCTCAGCGTTCATTATTTACTTTATTGAATGCTTTTACTCGAGGGAAGCTTCATCTTGGGGTCTCTATTTAACCTTAAACTTATGTTCTTTCATTATTTGGTGCCATCAAAATGAATTTCGCTGTAATACTTGCTTCTTCGAATGAAACCTTTTGCGGCTTTGATTTTAACCTTCCGGCTACATTCTGGAGAGAGCAGCCAACGATCTTGAGACAGCAGCAGTCTTCAGGTGACGGCGAAACGATGGTAATTAATTGATGCAGCCGGTAATCGATGAAAGATTTTTCCGATATTGGAGTTGGAGGATAAATATTGATGATGTGGCTCGTTTTCCTTGCCTTGTTTTTGGAGAGATTTTTCGGAATAACTGAGTATGAAAAGGTCCTCCGTGAAATCGGAATGTTCCAACACGGATTTGTTTTGACTTTCCGACGTTCGATTTTTAGGATATAATTATTTCTAATCTTGAAAAATGTTTTTTTTTTTTTTTTTTTTCATTCTGAAATGCCAAAGATGGCGAAAAATCTGTTTTCTATTTACTATACCTTCACATATGGATATCCATTAATTTTTAACCCAAAGGGAGAGTTTGCCCAGAAAGTTTATTAATTTCGTTTTGCCATTTTGCGTTGGTTCACTATAAACGGCGATTCAAATTATTGCCACCAAATATATATTAATATTAGAGCCCAGCATTCTATTTAAAGAAATTAAATAATGGGGAATCTATGAATATCTTGCGCTGTGAGAAAACAACGGTACCTAGAGACATCAAATTTTTAACAATGTAGTCCTCCACTCGAATATGGACATCCGTAAGCCCAAGTTTGGAATTTGTTTTATTATCGATTTCATATTTTGTAACACTTTAGCGAATTTTTGAATAACAAACTCAACGATCTCAAAGCGAGCAATGTCAACACTGTACGGAACAACAACAACAAAAAAAAAAAGTATATCCACCGCGAGAGACTGTGTATCGGAAATTCTAAAGATGTGCTGTTTTTAAATTGTTTTGTGTTATTGCTTTTGAATTGAATTTTGTGGTTTAAGTGCTAAGAACATGATATTTAATAATTAAAGGTAACAAAGAACATGATATTTAATAAATAAAGGTAACAAAGAACATGATATTTAATAAATAAAGGTAACACATAAAACGTTAAGAAACGCCCCTTTGGGGGCATAATCTTCAGAAAAAATCATAAAGCTTTCATATTTGTTTATAGGATGTTGTATGCGGTAACGAAAGTGTTTACATCGTTTAACATCTATACTGTTTAACATCGGTTTAACTATTATATGATTTTCAGTTCGGAGAAGAATTTTGTTTAAAATCAGTAACGAAAATGTTGCAACCATGACATTCAAAGTCTTTCATTCATAAGAGTAGAAGTATTTGTGTGAGTTTTTGAAAAGTAAAAACGTAACTTCACGATGTTTATCAATTAACTCCGTAAAAAAATAAGAGCGGGGTATTTTTCAAGTAAACAATACGTGACTTTTATCGAAGAACTGTATTTAAACATTATCCAATGGCGTAATCCTGTTACTTCCAGAAATTATGATTGCGAGCTCAGAAATTTGGTGATCTTAAGGGGAAAGTGTAAAATAATTATATTTCTCAAAAATTCCTTTTCTTTTTCAAAGATATCAAGCTATACGATTGAAGCTGTATTCAGTCTTGCTAAAGTAACAATAAATACCGAAGGTAAATTTGACAGCGGTATGTTTAATGTATATCTGCAAATTGATCACACATGGTGGAGGAAATAATTCATGGTATGAAGTTTGTGACGTAAAGAAATGAAATGTGCTAAGGAAATGATTTCAGTTTGACAATTACCATTTACTAATATCTGGAGAAAATATCTCATAATACTTTTACTCGTGTATAGATGAAATAATCAATGAATTTATGTTACAAGATACTGAACCTGCGTAACGGAGCATGTCTAATTAATTTCTAGAAAATAAGTGTATAACAAATGTATAAGCTACATTATAAGGTCTTCCCGCTTTAAGCTCACTGAAATTTTACTATAAACAACTTCGGCGGGGGGGATGTTGTTTTTCAGAGTAGGCTGCGCGATGTTAAATTGATGATGAACGAATCTGGCTTAGCATTATTGATTCTGTTACCTTAGCGTGTTACATGGGATAATGTGAAATACAGGAGTGATTTTACCGCTTTTCATTAAAATTCAAGTTAAATATTACAATGTAGAGGGTTTTTTTATGATTTTTATGTGTCGTATTGATTTTGAGAGAGCGTGGTGTTTTACTCTGAAGAGTATTAGGTTCTTTTGAAGCAGAAGAAAAATGAGCAAGGCCTTCCTGGGACTCGAACCTGGACTTCTACAATACGCGCCAAGTGTGCTGCTGTTACACCACGAAGGCATGCAGAAAGTTCCGTTCTGTTTTCCGCGGTTCGCCGCACTTAGAAAGTACCTTATATAGTCCCCCTTTTAAAGGGCGACTGGGGATAAGGAGACCCAGTTGCCAAATCCTGGTGGTGAAGAATCATCATTCGGCATATTTTAGTTCGGGCGCTATTGTAGAGTCATTAGGCTACTTTGAAGTAGGAAACATGAAAAATTAGGAATGCCGTGGCCGGGACTCGAACCTGGACCTCTCGATTACGCGCCCATTGTGCTACTCTTACACTACGAAGGAATGCAGAAAGCAGGGAGAAAATACCTTGTAACTCATTGAATCAAAATATATCTATTTGGAATGATTTTTCCCTTCCTTTTGACATTTTATTTAACTTGATTCCGTATTTCGTCGAAGTTATTTACCTAAATATTTTTTCTCATTTCACCAAAATGAATGGTTTTCATAGTATTTTTAATAGAGAATTTTAAGATTGGGAAATTTTTTATGTAATAGTTGCTTTAGAATATTTATTACTTTAGGAGATTTACTTTAGAAAATAGTTTATCCAAGACTATTAAACCAACACGGGAACGAATCTATTGTTATAAAGAGGATTCTGAAAGTGTTCAAGGCAGAAGATATTTATTATGAAAATAAGGGAAAATGTATGCAGTGCCATATCAACAATGTAACAATGCCATATCATTACAATACCATACAATTAATCGCCCACCAGCGACCGAGCGGTAAAGTCGCTGAACACTGGTAGTTCGATCCGAGGTTCGAATCCCGCGAACGGGCTGGCTGCATGGTCGTTTTCGTGGTTTTTCCCATGTGTAACGTGTATACGAGCCAGTTTCCCTTAGAAAGTCCTCCACGAAAGTATCCCTCCCCTTAGGCAGATAGCCCTCGAGGCTTTGCCATAATCACAGACACACACACAATCTTTTTGTTTTGTCTTAAATCTTTCTGTAAAGATTTTTAAATCACGAATTTTAGTCCTTATCTGTGGGTCAAAAATGCTTATTTTGGACGTGAAAAATGTTTATAGTTTTCCAGTTTTTAAGTAATTAGAGCATTTATCATCTCGCTACCGGAGCATTTATCATCTCGCATTTTCTAAAATACAGGCATGAAACATATTTAATTAAACTTCCGCTCGCATGTGGCAAGTGCTGTGTAGAGAATTTGTCTGATAGCGTTATAAAAACTAGGTGAATGATTTTCTGATTTATGGAAATCTTACTTTTATTTGATTCTGAATTATTTATTTTAATGCTTTAATTTTGGGGAAAAACAGATGCTTCTGGGAATATTATTTAGTTTAAAAGAATATTATTTATTTTTTCTTTTATTTGCAATTTTTGTACAAGCTTTGATTCATTGTGAAAAGAAGCAGGGAAAGGGAGGCAATTTTGCTAAGTCATGATTTCGCGCGCTTTGTCCTTTAGAATGTTCTGGAAGTAATTTCATTGTGCAGTTAACCTTAGGACAGGAAGTACGTGACAGAAGGGTCAGAGGTTGCCACTTGACTTTCGATGTAAGTCATTCAGGTTTTTGGCGATTGAGGGTCCGGTTGTTGGCTAAGTGAAGAAAGGCGCGCATGCGCGATCACCCTTATTTCCGCATTCAGGGGTTGAAAACGCAAATTTTGCCAAAATTAAGGGGGCGATAATTGAAGTCATTAGTGGGAGCCCGCGTTTGTGAAGGAGAGGAAGAAAATTCGAGTTTGAATCACTTTTTCGTGTGAGACTTTTCGTGCGAGACTTGGAAAGACTTGCTTGCGGAACTTACTTTGGACGTTACTCTTGAAACTTGCTCTGGGATTGAGTGTTCGAAACGATGTAATTTACGAAGAGAGATGCTCCCCTGCCGCGTTCTGGTTAAAAGGCGAAATTGAAACGGACGAGTGACTTAAGACTTTCAAGACCAGGCGAACAGCCGTGCTGGGCATCAGTGCTCCTGTTTCTGTTTTCCAGAGTAAAAATAGTTTCGTCGTTATGAAAACCAGTTACCTGCGTGTGTGTTTCGCCAATAGTGCCAGGACAGGACGATGTCTTCTGAAACTTCCATTTGTGACCGTAAAAATCAGCCCCGCTGACGTCAACGTTTATTAGGATACGAGTCCTCCACTTCAAGACGTCCTTAAGTTCTATTTTTTTGTGTTTGAACTTTAAGGTTTCAACGACTTCTTTGGAATGTAAAATAACAACGTCGAATCTTAAATTAATTCTCAGGCTTTCAATTGTTTCCCGTTCCCCTTCTAAATTACTGAGACAGACCTTAAGGTTTTTATATGAATTAGGATGTAATAATTTAAGTTGTTTGTGCAATCTTCCTTAGAACAGATGTGAATTGCAAATAATATGTTTTCCTTAACCTCTTAGAAATTACAGAAGGGGTACCCGTTAAATTAAAAGAGTCATGTAATAGATTTGAAAATCATGAATTTAAATGTAACAAAAAGTAAATGACAAATTGAAGAATTCCCCCGTGTCTAAAATAAGTAAATTAAAAGGTAACACAAATAAGAAATTAGACTCTCTGATAAGGATAAGATTTAATTTTTATTGTGAGGAATTTGAATAAACTGATATTTAATCTGGAAACCTATTACTTATGTGTTCTTTATATCTGTTATGTGTTTTTCTTATATATATATATTGATTTTACATGTTGTTTATTCGATCCTCTCACGGCGCGGTCCCGGATGCATTTTCACAACGCAATGCATTAAAAATTCACTTATACGCTCACTAAAAGTTTGATAATTAGCCAACTCTTAAGAGTTTAGTTTCGCAGTTGATATTTAGCTAGTTACGGTTTCACCTGTCTGTTTCTGCATTAGTTTCCTCCCTAAGAGGAAGTAGTAACACTGCATTGGTGCCCATGATATTTACGGCAAAGTATAGAAACAGAACATTGGTGCAGTAGCTATTTAACACAAGCATCCATTTCCTCGTGTGTTGCCCTTCGATGTGGCACAAATCTGTAACATAGCTTTCAATAAATTTTTAATAATTTGAAACTTTATTTTGTTTTTTAATAGTATATTCAATTGCACTGTTGTTTCAGTGGAAAATATGAGCTCCTGATAGAAAAGTTACCTCCCATATAATGTGAATGCAATTTCAATCTTGCAAGCAACTTTTTTCCTGATAGAAAGTAAAGAAATTTAAAACAAAAATATTCATAATCAGCGTTCTTATTGATTGCCGCTTCCATACATACATATATACTCGTAATAAACATTATTGGTCATTATTAACGTCTGGATGTCATCTCAAACTTTTGCGTACTTATGGTCATTATTGTTAAGTCGATGATGATCATCATTAAGTTGGAAAATAATGATTACGCTTGTTACATAAAATGAAAAGAATATGATTCTTGAAATAAGTATTTAGTCTTTAGAAATTAAAAGGAACGGAAAAAAAATGTAAAGCTCTCTCTTAAAAAGATGAGATGCTTCATTAAAGTGGCGAGAAATTTGTTTGCGCGTATATCTGAAACTGCTCTTGAAAAAGAGAAAAGGGGAATGAACGAAGAATAGGGCACGTTTGGATACAAAATTCAATTTCCTTTTTTCTTTCGGGAAAATACGGGCACACGAGTTAAATATTTTTCCATTCGATTGCCATTTTATGAAGCAACGAGCGATAAATTTTAAATATATTTGTTTACTTTAAGTAATAGTTGCGCTTTACATTAATAACAGTATTAAAAGAATTGTTCATAAGAGAGGAAAATGAAAACTAAATTCCTTTTCCAACTCAGTAATAAACAAGTACAGCGAATAATTTCGATTGTAATTGTAGATGGTATTATTAGCAGGTTTGTGGATTCTAAAAGCAAAATCTAATTCCGTTTGCCTAAGATTAAAACATATATTAAAATAACATAAATTTCCTGTCTAAATGTTGGTACTTCTTATACTATTCTGCATGTACATAATATATTCTTCTCAACAAGATATTGATACTTCAGATTAATCTTAATGTAATTTAAATATTAAATTTCCCTGTATTGACTGTATGAGATTGTTGTTACTGCAGATTACTGTACTGTTATGGAATGAAGAAGGAGTTTGTTGTGTTACTGCAAATTAACGTACTGTTATGGAATGATCAATGTTGTGAGTTGACGTTAAGTGGCGATTCAGAAATCCTGACTTTTCGGAATACATTTTGATTCTTTGCACATAAGAAAGCTGTCTAACAAAGATGTTAAGCCTAATAATTCTAAATGTATTTGTATGTGAATGTCACTTGTTTCTAAATTAAATGGATTTATAAAGGAACTTAACTTTTGTATCGAATAAAATTGAAATTGTTGTTATAAAACACATGCCAATTTTTGTTTCAAAGAAACTTGAAATCGTTGTTACAAAACATATGCTGTAAGGGCATTGAAAATGTCTTCAAAAAATTTAATTTACAAAATAGTACTAAACACTTTATGTTAAAATACTTAGCGAAATTAAGCACATTTACCGCACTCTGTACTTTCTTCACGTGTAACTATTTTGAAGTGGACTCTCAGATTCGTGGCAACTTTAAAGAAAAAATTCTTGGCTTCTTCGAAAGATACCCAAAATGGCCATTAGCAGTTGCAATGTACTTGCTGATTTTTGTTAGTAGATTTTAATATATTCACAAAAAGACGTACCATGGATTAGCAACGATTAATACTGAACTGTGGCGGCCGCACTGAACCAGTCTGAAAACGATTCTAATATCGAGAGATTTCACCAGTGATCCTAGAATATACATACAGGCAGCATAGATCCCCATGTTATATCCCATTCTTTGGTCTAGAACAGGGGTCGGCAACCTGCGGCTCGTGAGTCACATGCGGCTCTTCGGATGTGAAGCTGCGGCTCTTTAGATCCATATGCAAATATTATTTATTTTATCAAAAAAAAAAAAAAAAAGAGAAGAACTGATGAAGAGCATCGAGAATTCAACCGGGATTGGACGCAGTCGTTCGCTTTCATATGCAACTCAAATGGCCTTCTGACTTGTCTCATTTGCCTCGAAAATCTCGCACACAATAAGAAATCAAATTTAGAGAGATACTTCTCTAAAAAAACATACTCAGTTTGCTAGTAAATATCCAGCCGGCGAAGAACGAAAGAAAGCGGTCGACGAGCTCCAAAAACAAAAACAGCAATCATGTTCCATGTTATGTAACTGGACGCAATATACAAGTAATGTTAATATGGCAAACTTCGCGGTATCATTAGAAATTGCAAAAAGAAGGCAAACCATTCACAAATGGTGAGTATGTTAAAGATTGCTTCATACGTGCATCTGAAGAACTGTTTTGTGATTTCAAAAACAAACCAGAAGTCTTGAAAAAAATCAAAGATTTGCCACTGTCCGCTAAAACAGTACAAGATAGAATAGCTAAAATGTCTTCAAATGTAACATATTTGCAGGTGGAAGATATTCAGCTTCTGCCTTATCACTTGCTATAGATGAGTCTTGCGACATAAAAAACATGGCACAAGTTGCCCTTTTTGTCAGGTATATATCTTCCCAAGATCCAAAAGAAGAACTTATGGGATTGCTACCACTCTATCGACAAAATAGAGGGGAAGATGTAGCTAATGCCGTGCAAAAAAGCCTAGAAGACAATAAGATCGATTTAAATAAAATCTTTACAATAGCAACTGATGAAAGCCGTAAGTATGACAGGAAAAAATAAAGGGACAACAACGATTCTTCAGAGCAAATTAACCACGAAATTGTTACGTTTAACTGCATAATACACCAAGAAGCGCCTTGTACCCAACCATTTTCGCTCGAAATAGTTGAGGTAATGAATTTGGTAATCAAGATTGTTAACAACATCTTGTCAAAAGCACTGTACCATCGTCAGTTTAAAGAACTCTTAAACGAAATGGAGACTTAATATTCCGACCTCCTTCTTCACAAGTGCGATGGCTTTCCAAATGAAAGGTGTTGAAACGTTCTGCTTTGTGCTTGAATGAAATAAATACATTCCTAAATTAAAAAGGCATTAATCACCCTGAATTAGAGAACGACAAATTGCAAAAATTTTACTTTATGGTGGATGTCACAGCGAAATTAAATGAGCTGAATCTAAAATTGCAAGGAAAGGGAAACAAGGCCTATGTTTTAGATAAAGAATAGATTTGTTTTGAAAAAAAATTAATTCTTTTTGCAGAAGATATTCAGAGCGGTAAATTACTTCATTTTAAATTTCTAAAGCACTATCGCGATAAAACCAGTGCAACTGTTGACACGAATTACTTCGGCACAGTTACAAAAAAATTAAATATGAATTTGCTGACAGGTTTGAGCAATTCAAAACCAACAAAACCACTCTAGCATTCATAGTAAATCCTCTCAACACAAATAGTAACGAAATCCACATTGAGCCATTTGGAATTGATACTGAATCTCTAGAAATGCAGTTGATCGATTTAAAAAGTAAAGCTTTGTGGAGTGGAAAATTTACAGAGTTGAAAAGCAATTTGGAAGAGTTGGAGGTCCAGAAATGAATGTACGTAATGCAACAAAAGTGGTCAGCTTTAAAAGAAATGCTGCGAGTTGAGGCACTTATATTCAACTCATGGAGTAGTCTTCCAGATGCTACAGTGAGGTGAAGAAGTTGGCATTTGGAGTGCTGACTATCTTCGGATCGACATCTTTTTGCGAGCAAGCGTTCTCTTGCATGAATATAATTAAAAGTACAGTAAGAAGCCAACTAACAAATAAAAATTTAGAGTCGTGTTTGAAACTTAACACAACCAGTTATGAGCCAAATTTATCCAAACTTTCTAAAACCATGCAAAGCCAACGCTCCCACTGAATTTGTTTGCTCAATTTTTTTTTTATTGAAGTACAAGTTAGTGTTGTAAGTAAATGTTTTAATTGTTTTAAATGTTTACTTAAATAATAAGTAATTATCTAATAATGCCATATATATATTATCTAATTTGTTGTGAAAAACACTATTTATATATGAATCAATATATATTTTGCTTATGAATAAATAGAAATTTTTCTCTTATGAATAAATAGATTAGTTTCTGTTTAACAAAAAACTTTATTTATGCGAGTACTATTTATTGTTGGCAAGAAAAAATTTGGTGGCTCTTTAAAAACTTTGAAATATTGTAATTTTTTACTCTTCCGACTCAAAAGGTTGCCGATCCCTGGTCTAGAACGTTTTCAGGATGTGGAATTTCATCCCTACAAACGTTCCAGATTTCTGCATGAACACTTTGAGATCTATGTGATGTTTCATCTTTGTCCAGAATATTTTAAAGGCGATTCACAGAGTAACGATAGTAATTTAGTAATTTTTGTCAATACTTTTTGTCATGACTTTGACAGAGGACTTGTTATTATTAAACCTGAAGGTGTCGAAAATATTATGTGCGAAAGAGGTGGATATATTGAACGCTTTACATTCTAGGTAGCCTTACATATTCTTTATGAGTATTTTAAGGTCAGCTTTTTAGAGTAGTTTGTATACTAGACTCCATTTTCAATGTATTACAATTCATGGTCCATCCTGTAATTTCCTTTCGTTTGCTTCAAAATACAATACACTAGTAGTCAAATGCATAAATCTAAACTAGGATACAATAGCACTGGAATTTTCTTTATTAATCGAAATTGCGGCCTGTTCGATTAATCAGAAAGTTTAGTTGACTTTTTATCTGTGAGCCAAATACATATTGACTGTAGTTTAAATAAGGAGTTATTATATTTTTGTTTGTTTCAACAAATTTTATTAAAAAAATAGAATTATTTTATTATTGTGAAAGGAAATGTAAAATAGGCTTGTTTCACAAGATTGAATAATGAAATAACTTTTATATATTGTGAATGAGTGAACGACCTACTTTTATTTTAAATGAAATAAAATTTTATTCTTCCCTAATGCCCCAAAACATTTGTTTAATGTGCTAAAATATAACAAAGACAGCAGCTCCTTGTTTACCTTATGCACATAAATTCTTAAAAAATATATGTATGCTGTATTTATTTATTGATTGAGTTTTTACATTAATTAAAGAAAAAAAATAAGTTAACAGCAGGCTTAAGTTGATATGGAAGAAGGACACGCTGCCCGGATAATTAAAGTTCGATTATAGTTAGATAAATTTAATCTTTTTTTAAATTATTAACAATATATTTTTCTGACATAAGTTTAAATAGAAAAACACCTTTGTTTGATTTAGTTCATAAAATAAATACGTACGTTCTAAATACTATAATTTGCGAAGAGATTTATTTTTACATGATATATTATATTTCATTTATTTAAGCTGTTATCATATCGTTATTAAATATAATATTTAAATAAATTAATTTATTCAAATAAAAATTTATAGCAGCATAATACACCACATGTAAAAGCCAGACGCTGAGTTTTAGATACTTAAGTGGATGAATTATAAGTACGTTTGTAAGTTCAAAATAATATATTTTATTAAGTGATTATTAATAAAATATACGAGTATTAAACACCATCTTTCTTGTATAAGTATAGGGCATTAAAAAAGGAAATCCGGAAAATTAAATAAGGGTTGCTATACCACACGCACATTCTTTTGTGACAGGTTTGTGGGGTTGCCATAATTGGCGACATATCATTTCTTGTCTGGGTTTGGCGACTATGTCTGATTTCCATTCTAGTAACCCTGTTGCTGAGGGTCCATTAACGAGCGATGTTCGTATATAGTTGGCACCGGAAAACGACGTCAGGAAAATATCCGCTTCACCTCGCCATTATTTACCCATCCCAGCGAATAAGTCTGTCTCTCTTTTGTGCCATTTTGTGTCATTAGTCAGGATCTAGAGGGCCATTTGTAACTTTTCCGGGCAGATCCTTATAGAAACATTTTAAGGAAATGTCCCTGGGGACTTTTCTTCTTCGTAAAATTCGAATTTAATAATTTTCGAATTTAATTTGTAATAAAAGTATATGACTTATATTCTTGGCTTCAGTTTTTCATTTCCAGAGTAAGAGATTAATTTTGAATGCGTTTTCTCTCCCCTCCAGTGAAGCTATTTTTACCCTCGTATAAAGTATAAAGCATGTATGCAGTTTAATTGTGTTCGAATACTTTATTTTAAAGTTCGAATTCAGTGTTATTGTTTGCAATAATTTAAAGAAATTCATGTAGTGAGTTCTGTTTAGAATAAATAATTCGAATTCATAAAATAAGTTCGGAAAAAAAATCTGTAAACTTTCAAATTTTATAATACGCCAAAAGAGGCGTTTTTTTAACGTTCTGTGTGTTACTTTTATTTATTAAATATCATGTTCTTCGCACTTAAACCACAAAATTCAATTCAATAGCAATATCGCAAAATAATTTTAAAAGAGCATATCCTTAGAATTTCCGATATACAGTTCCACGCCGCTGGAGATAAAAGGTTTCCCCGTAGAGTGTTGCCATTGCTCGCTTTTAAATCGTTGATTTTGTTAATCAAAAATGCCAAAACGAAACTAATAGCCCTTCTGGGCTAACGCCCTTTCGACTAAAAAGAACATCGCAATTTTAAAACAATCAGATAGAAATAAAAGCAGGATAAAGAAGTTCGGAATTTTAAAACGTCATACAAAGCACCGAGGTAAAGAATAAAACACTTTATAGAATATTGCATGATAATAAGATGTTGATAGAAATTTAACCGTATTTTTTTCCAGAAATAAAATAAAGTTATTTAACTTTCATTCAGGTAGTTCTTTACCACGTGTTCATTAATTTTTAAGATATATATTTTTCGAAAATTATTAAAATTATTTCTTGATCTTTTGTAGTTTGTTTTCTTATTTAATTATTTCCTTATATTCATTTATATGTGTGAAAAGATATGAGATAACTACACGCGAAGTCCACAAAAGTCCTTCTGCGGCCTTATTTTGGCAGCCGTTGGTTGTAGACATATACTTCCTCATATAAAAATGTTTCAAATGACTTAAATCTTAGGCAGATCTTATAAAAATCTCTGGGTGTTTTTTGAGGAAGAAGAGAAACATTTGATCTCGGCTATTAATTCAAATAGTAAATCGGATATTTGGTTTAGACACTTTACTGACTCCAAAGGTTTTAAAGATGTGCGAGTTTCTGAGCACTTGGCATCTTTGTTGTTGCTAATGAAGATACTGGACCCACTTTTTTGTAGCACACAAAAATATCATCACTAAATATATTGATGTCACAATTGGTGAACGGAGACTTCTTCATAATATCCAAAACTGACGTATTTCTGCCTGATAATAAGAATTTTTTTTTATTTCTATGCTTTCCTTGCGAAATAGTTCAAGATGTGCCTCGAAAAGTGTTCTTTTTAATATCAAAAGAGCAAACTGGAGTTATTTTCGAAGTTTCTGCATAAATTATAAGGTAAAATAATTTAACTCTTTCCAAAATTGTAACCAGAGATGTTAGTTAACATAGATTGGTCTCCCAGAGATGTTAGATAACATTATTGTAAAACTGCACAATTTAATTATTTCTGCTGCAGAACACTCCATCCCATTCACGAAATCTCGTTTACACAATGTTATCAACAAGCCACAGGTATAATCACTTTGGGCAGTTTGGAAGCACCATGTAACTAGGAAACAGCATATTTTTCACATGACCGTCGTCGGATAATTGGAGTCGTCATGCACTCGTTTGTTAATGCTTCTGTTAGACGAACGAAAACCATTGTGTACTCTCAAACTTTGCAATAAAAGTTGCAAAAAAAATAATGTTGGTTTTCTTTTTAAATAATATCCACAGTTCTCATTTTATATTAAACCTAAATAAAAGGAAAATTACTGTCTACCTGAGATTTCAAAACATCTACTTCCATCTTACTAAATAAAGCTTTATCACTCTGCGATACGCCCGGGCAATATCGGGTACTTCAGCTAGTAAAAAAATGAAATGCAAAAAGTTTGATTCCATGTACGAAAAAAAATGTGATCCAGATATCTAATTTCAAAATTTAAGTTTTCGGACGCTTTTCTTGAAGGGTTGGTTAAAATATAAATTAGAATAATCCAAATTGATTTCTTTACCCTTAATGACCATTTACCCATTATTTTGCGATTTATTATTGTGTAACATTCTTTAATTTATAATTTTATTGTATTGTTACGTAGGAATAACTTTTACATAATAAATTTGTAAGTTTCTAACATGTTAAAAATACGTTGTTAATATTCTCATGAAGTTTTATTACTTTTGAATGATAGTCTAATAATCATATAAAAATTCATTACAGCAGAAATTTTTTAATTTTTAATTTATGCAAATAATGTCGTTGGCTATGCCCCAGTACAGGTGTTTAACATCTTCCGCTGTTTTCTAGAACACGAATAAAAGTCTGTGAAACCCTGAACGTCATCCCAAAATTTAAAATTAAATATCGCGGACAATTTTTGTCTTAACAGTAGTCACATTTTGTGTTATGTTTATTTAGAATGAGTATAAACATTTATTAAATATAAATTTAAAAATCGAGGGGTGGTATAAAAAGTAAAATTTCATAAGCTTTATACAATTATATGATTTTTATAACTTAAAAGGAGAGTTTTTTATAACTAAAAAACGCAGTATTTCCTTTGTCTAAAATCCCCCCATACAAACTAAAAATGCGTTTTTATAAAAGTAATTTATTAAATATTAATTCTTAATAGATAACTTAGTAAGTTTGAAATTCTGTTAAATGTTGCTGTATGTATTTGGAATTTCTACGTATTTTTAGCTTTCGATTGCTGAAATTTCATTCTTGATTTTTTAGTTAAATATTATTAAATAATTTAAAAATTCAAATAATATGCGTAAAACATTATTTCTTCTCAATTCGTAAATCATTCCTTATTGCATTAGCGAATAATATCTTTCAAATTTTAAAAATTTGATATGATGCATCTATGATGTTTTCATCAGGAGATATTTTATAGGTGTTTCATTTTTACAGACGTTATTGTGTATGATAGCGTTATCGTCACGTGATGTTTTATAAGTGTTTTATTTTTTTATGATGTTTTGGAGATGACATTTTAAATTTCAAAGTTTTGTCACAGCTTTATTTTAAATGTTAATATCGCACATAACCGCAATATTTTATATAGCGATGATTTAGAACTGTTATGTATCCACGATGGTTTGTGCAATGATACCTCGTGTTTTTTTTCTCCTCAATATTTTTCTTTTTCAAAACATGTTTTTAGTGACAATGTCTTTTTGAGCAGAATAATATCTTTCAATCAGTGAGAGTATGGTTTTCTTTTTTAAAAAAAAATTTTGTTAATCCAGCATTGTAAAAATCTTTGTTAACTTCGAAATAATATGAGTTATATTCAGTTGAAAATATACCCGAATTTGATACTGTGAGTTATGGAATTTCGTTGAATTTAAAAGCTACAGGTTCTTGAAAAAAGTACTTGTGAATTTTATTATCAAATGACCATTTTTATAATCTCTGAAACTTTCTGTTGTATTTGGCTGCCATAAAGTGAGTTTATCTAATCCAGGTAGACAAGGAAGAGGTCTTAATGCAAAAAGTGCAGTGTATTCATAATTTATTCACCGGATGAAGATATGCTTTAAGTAATACAGAATAAGAGATAGAGCAAAAAAGACTGACTGAATTTTTTTTTCAGCACTTAGAAAGAATCATGTATTGGTACACTTCAACGTGAGTATTGTTAGTTTGTTCGGAGAACATCAAGTCTGTTCTCGATTTCTCTCCTGCTGTTATTAAGCATTTGTGAAGTCACAGTAGTTGTTGTGTGGCGTTTCGATTTTTTTAATTCTTCGATGTTGCGAATCTCTTCAGCATAAACTTGGTTCTTCAGTTATCCACATAAAAAGAAGTCGAGCGGTATGACGTCCGGAAAATGGGATGGATGACCATGAAATTGGTCCACCTCCCTCTCCTACTGAGGCAACGATCTGGAAATGTTTCATTAAGGAAATAACGCATATGTGTAGTCCAATGACAGGGCTCATGCTGTTAGAAAAAAAACGCGATTGCATTTCTTCTAATTGCGGTACGGTAAACAGTCTCAACATATCCATTATGTCCGAATTAATGGATGACTCGAAGAAAAAGAAGGGACCAATCACTGTGTTATGAGTTAATGCACACAAACGTTAACTTTAGGGCTACTCGTTTAATTTCCCTTACACAATGCAGGCTGCTAAATTAATTTAACCTCATACAGAAACATGAAATGTTGCTTAAATATTGTTTGAATAAAATTTTTAATTTTCTAATAAATTTTAGTTTTACGAAATAGTGAGAAATCATTCGTATTCACATAATCTTTAGTTCAAAGAATTTCATTTTTTCTAATTTTGGGGAATGGCAACTAGGAACTTGTTTGCTTTGAGACAAAAATGGCGTCGTGCAGTTAAAAGCAGTTCGAGTTCTGTGGTTATAAGAAATAAAATCTTCGTAAACAGTTCAGAAGCGATTCCCACATGAATTTAATAAACTTCCACCAACGAAATAGTCAATTAAAAGATGGCTAAAGCAATTTCGAGAGATCGGAAATATTTTACATAAAGAATGTGCGCGGTGGATCAAGGGTCGAGTGATAAAAATGTTTCCGCCATTCGAGATGAGTTTCTGCCCAATCCCAGCCAAATGTATTCGCTGATCCAGCCAGCAAACAGGAATTCCCTGGTAGACTGTTCATAAAATTGTTCTTAATTAGTTGAAACTCACTGCACATAAATTGCAGATTTGTCAAAAAATCAAATCTAATGGTGCAGTCATTCGTAAGTAATTTCCTGTAGACATTCTTGACCATATCAGTAATGACGATCAATTTGTTGAGAAAGTCGTGCTCAGTGACGAAGTAACTAATTAAGAACAATTTTATGAACGACCTGGGAATTTCTATTTGCAGGCTGGTACGGCGAATGGATTGCTGGGATTGCGCACACTCATCTCGAATGATGAAAACATTTTTATTACTTGACTCTTGGTCTACCGCGCACATTCTTTATGTAAAATATTTCCGATCTCTCGAAATTGTTTTAACCATCTTTTAATTGACTGTCCTGTTGGTGGAAGTTTATTAAATTCATGTGGGAATCGCTTCTGAACTGTTTACGGAGATTTTATTTCTTATAACTACGCAGCTCACATTGCTTTTCACTGCATGACGCCATTTTGTCTCTAAACAAACAAGTTCCTTGTTGCCATTCCCAAAAATTGGAATAAATGAAATTCTTTGAACTAAAGACGATGTGAATACAAATTATTTCCCTTTATTTCGTAAAAATTAAAATTTTTTTATACGATGAGTAAATTATGAACACCGGGTGTGAGCTACAAAAACGGAAAATTAAACTTGACTGTCTAATCTTAGTTTGTACGAAAGACTGCCATGAAGTATTTTAGTCATCATTCTGTCTTGAGTTACTAAAATATTTTAGTCTCTGTTCTCCAAAATATGATGCAAAATGTTTGAAACGTTTTTATACTTAAATTATGTTTTACTTTGTAAAGAATGTTGTTTCTCTGTTATTAAATTTTCTTTAAGAACTTTCAAGGCAGAAAAAATAAATATTAAAATGTCTTATGTTGTACGAAATAAAAGGCATTATTTTAATGGTGATATGTGTATAGTTTTACACTAGAAAACTTTGATACAACAACGTGACAAATTGCTGCCGGGTTTAATATTTTTTTATCGTTTTTCCCCCTTATACTCTTCTTTCATATACCTATCTCGAGCATTTTTCTCTTTTATACTGTAGCTCAAAAAGTATTTTCAGCAGAAGTCCAATTTCTGCTTTTGCCCTTTTTTCTCCTTACTCTCCATACAGAATCTGCGCAGCAAGAAAAAAGAAGGAAAAAAACCGCTAAACAGCCCACTCAACAACTAGATACTTCTTTTTTTTTCCCTTGGAAAAAGAAACAAGCTGAAAGTAGGGAATTCCTCCAGCAAAATTTCCCGAAACTCAGAATGTAGGGGCAAGGAAAGGGGAATGCAGAGAAAGTAGAAGAAATGTCAACACAGATTATCTTCAAAGTCTCCTGCACCTTTTATATGTTTCAGTTTTCCCTTTTATTTCTTTAGATGGTGTTGCTGTAGTGGTAGGTATTTTAAGGAATAAATTGAGGAATAAAAGTATTTTCCGAGATCATTGTTGTTATGTACGGTTGAAAATGCTTATTTGGTCTTTGGCTGTGCTGTGGAAACGTGATGGTTTCATCTCTGTGATAACGTGATGCGAAAATAAAATATACTCCTGGAAAAGATTGATTCTCTTTTCTTTCTCATTCCTGCTTCCAGTACAAAATTTTATGAATTTAAAATGAAAGTTAAGGATATCAGAGGAAATTTTTAAAATCGAGTTCAGAATAACTGAAAGTTGTGCGCATATGTTATCTTAAAAACACTTTCCTCTCCCCGAAAATATATTCGAATGTGTACCTACTATTTCGGGAGAATAACCACAATTGTTATATAGTATTTCATAGCATTGATACATATTAATGTGCGAATATTTATTTTTAGTATTGGGAGAACTGGTTGGCCTCTGTCTGTAATACTTCGTGAAAATTTATAAAATAAAGTACTTAAAAAAATTTGCTGTGTTTTCATAACATTGAAAACTGTACTGTGAACCTGTATACTAATAAGAATATTTCAATTTAATAATTTAATAATTGAAACGCTAATGCGTTTCAAGTTTTCGTTTATTGTTTTAAAGGTGTTTTCTCCCTCCTTCCGCATGCCTTCGTATTGCAATTGGAAGCATATTCGACGCGTATTCGAGAAGTCCAGAATTCGAGTCTCGACGAGGGAGTGCACATGTTTTACGTCTCCAGCATAAAAAAAAAATCTAGTGACCCGAATGGTACCCGAAGTAAAAGGTGGTAACGATAATTCTTCACCACCAGGATTTGACGATTGGGTCGCATAATTTCCATCTGAAGGGGATAATATATAAGATATTTTCTCCCTCCTTTCCGCAGGCCTTCGTGATGTAATTGGAAGCATACGCGACGCGTTTTCAAGAGATCCAGGGATCGAGACCTGTTAAGGGCACTGCACATTTTTCACGTCTTCTGCTTCAAAATAACCTAATGATTCACCAGGTTAGTTTAAATTTGTTCATTACTTCAGGTATCTGTAGGCTTCGATTGCTTGCTTTTTTTAGAATGCTTCACTTAGAGCAGTGGTCCCAGACTGGCTGCTTACGGCCGCCGAAACAATTTTATGCCTCCCACGATTCCATTTCAGTTATGTATTTCCTGCAAATACGGTGTTGAATAGTATTTCAAATTTTCGTTATTTTAAATCCTAGTTTTCATTATCATTAGTAAAATTAAAAAAACGTGACGCAAAAGAAAATCTACAAATGGAGCTAATTAATTTATATAGTGCTATAGATCTTATTCAGAAATTTGAAGATACAGATTTCATTAACATTTATTTGTGTTTGTCAAAAGAATAAATAGTCTCAGTTACGAATTTTGCATTTTGAATTTTTTGAATAATCATTTTGTTTGGGAATATTCCTTGTGAACAGCCTTTTTTCATGTTTGAGAATCAATCTGAAAAGATCCCGATTGACCGTTGAACATGTACAACGTACAAAAATAGTACAACGTGCAACGATAATTTCTAGTAATTTTTCTCCAAGGCTACAAACTCTGTCAGAAAACCTCATGAAGTGTCAAACTGTAGTAAGAAATAAAGAAGTTTGTAATTTTCTACGTTTTGATAAGGTCGCATAAAGGTACTTGGTCTACGACGAATGATTTCAAATTGCAAATTCAGAGTGCAATATCCGTGATGAAATCGCGGTACTAAATATAATTATTTGATTGTTATTAAAATAATGTTAAGTTGTTAAAATAGTTGTTATTAAAATAATATTAATATGTTGGCATTGTTTCAAACGCAGGCTCGAGAGCCACGTATTGCTCTCGCACGTAAAATGTAGAGATATTTGAACTTGTTTGAAAAAAAAAGGAATTTAGAGATAGGTTTTTCTCTTGTTGATTGTATGTAGCCATTGTTTTGGGAGTTCAATAAAATTTTCATGCTGTGTTCCATCATTAGAGTTTTCATTGGAGTTCAACACCACACCGTTGAAGCATTAACACTACACCACAACGTGTATACGTATTTTTATATATGTATCGAAGAAAAATTTAATAAAAATGGAAAGAGATGAAGTTGCCATTTATTCATTCTCATGTTTTGTCATACTTGGAAAAGAAAGCTATTTATTGATTAATTAAATAGTTCAGAAATAACTGAAACATATGCCAATCTGAATATTTCATATTTAGTTGCCACTGGGTTTGGGTTACAAGTGCTGCCAGTAAAAATGTCTCGTAGGTGCTTTCCGAACTTTGTATTTCAAATCGAAAATAAATATAAATTTGATTTTTTTCTTTTGCGTTATGATTATTATCGTTTATATATGTTTTGATAAATATTTAATAAGCCAAATCAAAATTTTATTTAAAATATTTTCTATTCTGTATGTAAAAAGTTTTAATTTTCTTTTAAAAAAAAATTCTTCCTCGTGAGCTGTTTTCAAGACTGCGTATTCGGCCCGCGTGTAAGTTGAGTTTGATACCACTGACTTAAGTCTTCTCGTATTTGGGTTGCGTACGAAAACATTACTAGTCACTACGAATCTGATTAGCCTTTTGATGAAACTGCTGCTGAAGTTTAACTATGTAGTACCTTCTATGTATGGCAGACCTATTACTATTCAGCCAGTTGTTCGTGTTCTTAGCCAATCCAATAAATAATGTCCCTGAGACAATGTGAATAATATTACAAGCTTGAAATTTGAATAACTGTTATAGGTTACAGTTGACGGGAGGTGGAGACATCATCCTTCTCACGTTCTCATCAGGAGGTATACCAAGTAGCATGGTAAAATATTGTTGCCTTTATGCAAAATCAAAATTTTATGCATAAACCATAAGGAGTTCCATTGCTTTAAAAATTAAATACCTGTTTTTAAACAAAAATCAAAGAGAGGCGTTAATTATGTGAAAGTACTTAGTATAGTTCTGAATTTAGTATTTTCCTTTTACACCTTAATACTTGAATGCTATAGTGAAAAGCTGTTAGTTTCTTAACTTGGGGGATAGTGTTTTTTACTGCAACATATTAATTTATTCCAGAAATTCCTGACTTTACCGTTAGATTTAATATACTGTTGTTAAAATTCAGGTACGCGTTCAGTTTAATATCATCCTGCAGATATAAGAATAATGTATTGCTTATTAGATTTAATAATGTATTGTTTAATAATCTACAGATTTAATAATGTATTGTTTATTAATTTACAAATTTAATAATGTATTGCTTAATGTTCCTTTCGTCTTAAAAAGATTATTTTGTATAATAATGTAGCGTTTATTAATTTTCAGATTTAATAATGTATTGCTCAATATTGTCTTTAATGAGAATAATATTTTTAATTAAATTTTAAAAATTTTATTTGCTTGATTGTGTTCAACGAACTGAAAAATGATAAAAAAATTTGTCCTCTATTTTATGCCAGTTATATGTACTACTATAACTATACACCTATATTTGCGCAAACAATTAGGAAAGCATGAAAGTGTGCAATTTTAAATTCGTCAAAAATGTTTGATTAAACTCGCAATACGCAATAATCTGATCATCTTCTTGTGTATGTGGATGACTATATATGCCGGGAGTTTCTCAAAAGTATGTGACCACAATTTCAAAATAACTTACTCGAATATTTTATAGCATTTCAGCCGCAGTTCTGTATTCCCTTTCATTTTGGCTCAAACTGATATAATAATGCAAGCTTTTTTTCCGAGGTGGGGGAGGAATCCAATATTTTTATCAAGATAACAAACGGCTGAAGCTCTGTTGTTTGCAATATGGTAGTTTTTGTATTTCGTTTAAACTGAAGTGGGTCAAGAAATAAATCTCAAGGATTTTTTTTAAAGGTTTGCTTCAGAAAAGAGCAGAATTTAAACTTCTTTGAATAAATACAGGTAATGTACTTTATTATTTTCTTGAACTAAATTGACAAGGTCGGATTGAATAAATTTAAAGTCAGATTTTTCGGAATTTTTATGAATAAAAGAGTTGTTTTTCCATTTGTTAGGAGCTAGTATGCTTGAAGATTATTTGCATTTCTTTCCAGGCTTTTGCTGTCTGCTAAGCATTAACTTTATGTTTTAAATATAATTGATTAAAATAATGTTTTGTGGGAAAATTTTCTTTTTTCTCCTGAATTAACAACAGCTCATGATTATAACAATATTAATATGTATAGTATACCTTATTATTATTATTATAGCAATACCTTGCATGGCCTGACTTCACTTAATCTAGTTTCGTTATAATCAGGTTTAAATATTTCAAAACGAAATAAATTTTAATTGAATAAAATAAACTCTAAAAAATTAGTATGCAAGCAAACAAAAAATGTATTGTAATGCATAAATCATTGTATTTTAATGTGATTTATTTTTATACTGTTTAAAAGTTATGCAGTGCGATATAAATTTAGATTTTTTTCTGGAGTTCCCGTTTGTATGTTTATATATATGCCTTTGTCATTTGTTCTTGAGCTATAATAACTATCGCTGGGGAGAGCGCTGATGAGGCATACTTCCCATTGACTTTTATCTCGGTTTGACAACTGCGCCTACAAAAGTAATTATGTTTCGAGACTAAAGCCCTCGTGGACTAATAAAATTAACGAGTGCGGAAAAAAAATGGGAAGCTGGTTCTGTTACCAAGATATATGAGTGGCTGACATCGGACGAAAATTTTCAAGATTATCAATGTTACTAACATACGTGAGTGGCTGACTTAGGACGAAAGTTGTCAAGATTATCAATGTTACTAAGATACGTGAGTGGCTGACTTAGGACGAAAGTTGTCAAGGTTATCAATGTTACTAAAATACGTGAGTGGCTGACTTAGGACGAACGTTGTCAAGATTATCAATGTTAGTAAGATACGTGAGTGGCTGACTTAGGACGAAAGTTGTCAAGATTATCAATGTTACTAAAATACGTGAGTGGCTGACTTAGGACGAACGTTGTCAAGATTATCAATGTTACTAAGATACGTGAGTGGCTGACTTAAGGCGAAAGATCGATGTAGTAAACCCTCATTAAGAAAGTGCATCCTTTGCTAATATAGGTTGGTCCATTGACAAGGTATACTTTCCATTGACTTTTATCTTAGTTTGGCAACTGCGCCTACAAAAGTCAGTCTTGTTTCGAGACTAATAGCCCATTTGGACTAATAAAATTAAAGAGTGCGAAAGAAAATATGAGGCTGTTTCTGTTACTAAGATCGTGAGTGGCTGACTTAGGACGAAAATTACCAAGGTTATCAAGGTTACCAAGATACGTGAATGGCTGACTTAGGACAAAGTTCTGTGCTGTAAACTCTCATTTAGAATGTGCATCCTTTGTTAATATAGGCATGAAAAAGGAATATACACGGCATCAGTTCAAAACTTATCTAAATCAAGGATTATTATAAATCGCAAGGTATAGCTACGGTTTCTTACTTATCCGAAGTATTCACTAAAACCAGAGGTACTCTAATAGTAAATTTGGAACAACTAATTATCCATAGGAATCGCAAGCTTAATCAAAAACATGTTCCACGTAATCAAATAAAAATTCAAGTCAAAGCATTAAACCTTTACCGTGACTTTGAAGACTGTAAGGATGATACTAAAAGTGAAAGTGATGGAACTAGTGAAAATTTTACGACAAGTGGTAGACAGATTTCCCTTTTTAAGCCGTGTTTGTATTGTTAGTGAATTTTCCAGTGCGGAAGATCGTGCTTCAAAATATTAAAAGGAATTCAGTGAAATCATACAAAAAAGTAGCTATAAAAATGAACAAATATTTAACGATGATGAAATAGGTTCACTCTGGGAAAATTTGCCGTCACGTATTTTTAAGTAGCCATTGGAACTCGTGCCCTGGATATAAAATTTCGAAGAATCGCCTCATGCTCTTAATATGTAGAAATGCAGCAAAATATTCCAAGGTAAAACCGTTGCTTGTGTACCTTGCGGAAAATCCTAAAGCTCTTAAACATTTGTCACAAAATAATCTCCCTAGTGTTTTCGGCGACTTAAGAAGGCATGCGTCTAAAGATCACCAATTACGTGTGTCCTACAATAGAATGTTACTGCTGAGGAAATGGACTAGATTTTAAATTTTTATCAGGCCATCCGAGTAGTTTCTGTAACTATTCTCCGTGATTTAAATGAAAAATACAGTTAATATTTCGTCTACCAAGTACATCTGTAAACCAGTAAGAACACCAAGATGTCATTGCGATAGCTGAGACCTTTTAATTTCGCTTCACGTATCAAAAACCATAAAAGCTACAACAGGAGAATATGCACAAAAATTTTGAAAGAACTACCAGCATCAGAAACGTTGTCGAAAATATTAGCGAACTATGACATAAATTAACGACAAGAAATATGGCAGTTCGTAAACATAATCATAATATATCGTGCCAATGAGATTATTGGTTTTGAAACTCACTGAGTCACCTGAAACATAATGGAAATTGAATAGGAACTTGGTTTCGTAAACCTAATTGAAAACAACACCAAACTGAATTCTAATAAACTAGATAATGAAATATTAATTAACAATGGCTTGAAAAATGAAAGAATGAATGAATGAGAATGAGTGGCAATGAAAAATGAGAGGTCAACATAAACAACGATGACTCTGTTGATGCACAAGAATGAATAACTGTGAAAAATTGTTGGAATGACTGAAACTTTGTTGACGTTGCACTACCCCACGCAATAATTTAAAAATTTAGATTTTACTTTTGTAGAATCTTTCTTACAGTGAATGTTGAAACCATTTACATAAAATTGTACGCTACGGGGGAAAAAAAGAAAAAAAAAGGGGTGGCCAGTTCTACAGCTCTATATCTCCCGTTCTACTGGGCCGATTGACGAAATTCAACTTGAGTTTTTTATGTCTCGTAAACTCGATTTAGAATATGTATTAGATTTATATATCCATTGTTCTAGTATAGGTATTTTCACACAAAATCGGACTTTTTCTAAAATGACATGACAATCTACTATTCAAATTATGCCAAACGGCCAAGTTTTGTAAAAATCGCACGTGTAGTTTTTAAAAAATTAGCTCTCAAAATTTTAGCTCCTCAGTGTAAATTGAGTTTGGTATATATTTATTAAAATCTCTTTTTTTATTAAACTTATTTGATTCTTACTTTCACATTTCGAAATTTAGGTTCATTCCAAATAAAATTCGTCCGTTTTTTTTTCTGATTTATTTTTAACACTTGTATTTTAAAATAATTTTTATAAATTTTTCGAAAAAAGTTTTGAATTATAACCTATGAAATTTCTACCATCGTCTTAAAGTAGATGTATTTCTAAGCATATCTGCAGAAAATTAGAGTTTTTTTATTCAAAATTTCCGAAGATACGAGTGAATTTATATATTGGCGCGTTTTGAAATTTGGCATTTTTGTTAAAAGCGATAATAACATCAAATGTGGTTTAGGCACTTTGTTAAAATTATTTGAAAGTAGGAACGATCTGACTTTATTTCCGCTCATGCACAATGTAAAAAATGAAAGGAAGATAGATTGCCATATATTAAGAAGTTCGCCAAGTGAATTATTCTTGGCGCAAACCGAAAAAAATGCGCCAAGATAAATTTTTGGATTTCTCCGCAAATTTCGCACGAACTTTAACAAAAATTTAGTATTTAGTCGTAAAATCGAATATGGAAAAACATTGGCATGTCATTTCAGAAAAAATCCGATTTTGTGTCAAAATGTGTATATTAGAAAATTGCTATATTTAAATCTAATATCCTACCTCACGCTTTCGAGACATTAAAAACGCA